AAAACAAAAAAAAAAAAATTAAAAAAAATTAAGAGAAAAGAAAAAAAAATAAAAAAAGAAAAAAAAGCAAAAAAAAATAAATAAATAAAGAAAATATTTTTATAGTATCATAGTGCCAACACTAATATAACTATAAAAATTGGCACTGGTTATACCAAATATAGATCAAGTATATTTTTGAGCCAATAAAAATAATCTATACAGTTGTATTATATAAACACTTAATAATGCAGATTTTTTTTAATAGTTACGTATGTAGATTGTTAATGATAGATAAAATTAGTAAATCAAGTTTATATATATTGAAGTATAGGGGTCAATGATCTAATGTATATACGTGATAAACAAATAAATAGGGTTCGATTAGAAGCATAATCAAACTTCTTTCGCTTGTTTGAGAACCTCAAGAACTTTGTCAGTTTTATCTAGTAAGAGAGTTTGCCAATAAAAGCTAGATATAAAAAAGTAAAAATGATGTAAAGCAAATGCAAAAGACCCATTACTAGTGAACATACAGTATGCGATATTATTTTTTTCAGTTTATTATTCACCTGATTTTTACATCCAAATAAACTATTCATACTGTAAATAATTACCTAACAAAGTTGAATTTATTTTGCAAAGCACAAAAACGTAAGAGTGGTGATCATGAAGTAACTTTGAGCAATTATTTAGCGTGATGAACTGTTAACATAATTACTTGTCTATAAATATTGTTGAATCTGTATATTGTTAATAATAAGTTGTGATAAAGCCTTTGATATTGAAATTAATAACAATAAATACATCAATAAATATGAAAATAATAGTGGGAATAAGTATAATGGTGAGCATGAAGATGGTGGTGAATATGGGTATGATAATAAAAATGAACATAAATATAATAATAGGGACAGACATAGTAATATGAATGACAGCATAGATGGTGACTGTGAAATACAGAAAGTTTTTAATAATTGAGATAGTGCTGTAGAGGAAGTTGAAAAGTATGCATGTCATAAAAGTATGGATAACTTATATATACATTGAATAATTCTTTAATGGAATATAAAATTAGTAACAAAAAATTTTTTATTCTTTTTCATAAAGATTTGGGACAAGATATCTTTGTATAGAAAAGCTGAAAAATGGTAATATTTGGCAGCGTACAATTGTGTGCAAACATTATAGTTGGTCTCAAAAAACAAAATGCAAGAACCAAAATAAATATGTTTCAAAATGCATAGGATGTATCTGGCAAATAAATATTTCATGCCCAGAAAAAGAGAATTCTCACAAATATGTTTATATTATAAAAATTATTGACAAGCATGAAAATTATGAACTTAATTTATCATACCTTTCTTTTCAAGAATCTCTTGATTTTCCTAAAAATATACTTAAAGACATTGAGTTTTATATAAAAAAAATGGATTGCAGTCCTCAACAAATCCGTAAAGCTTTGGAAGAAACTTATCTGATCCACAAAATCTACATGCCTGTGTTACAATGAATAATACTTCATTTCTGTCTAAAGTTACATGACCAAACCAATAATGCAGCTTGTTTGTATGAGGAGTTGCTAAAAAGAAAGAAGAGAATCTCTGTTGGTATGTAGCAGTAGATTGGGATCCTAGTATGAAATGTCTCTGCTAGCTGTTTTATATATCCTCTGAGCAGATTAAAATTTGGCTAAAATTTAATAATGTTGTTCTAAATAATTGCACTGAAGCAACTAATCATTATGAAATGGCTCTTTTAATATTTTTAATCATTGATAATCATTTGCATTCAAGGATAGTGGTGCAGGCACTTGTGGATGATGAGACAATAGAATCTCACTGTTAGATTTTTTAGCAGATAAAGAATACTATACATAATGCAGTGCCACAAGTAATTTTTATTGATACAGATCTGGCTGTTTTTGCCACAATTCATGATAAGTTTCCTACAACAAAAGCTCTTCATTGTATGTTCTATATTTCTTAAAATCTATTTTCAAATTTCAAAGGTTGTCTTGGAAATCAGTTTGACGAATTTATTAAAGATTTTTATGAGGTGCAACATTCATCAGTTAAGATTATTTTTGAACATAAATGGAAAAACTTGATTCAAAAATATGATAATAATAAGGTAGTAAATTACTTGCAACAGATTCTTTATTCAACTAAAGAGACTTGGGCAAGAGCTTTTGTCCTAACTTTTTTTATGGCTGGGATATCATCGACTTCTCGAGTCAAAAGTTACAATGCAAAAATTAAGCATTTAATTTATAATTTAAACATAACAATTCTAAAACTTGCGAAGGTGTTATCAACATGTCTTTCTGAAAAAGACAAAAGAACAGAATATACACTCTTTCATGCATCAGTTTCTAAAATCACCTTATACTTAATAGTAGATACAATATTACCAAATGTTTGCAAACTATTGAAATCATATTTAACAGAAGTATTGTTAGACTGCAAAGATGAATAATAGAGTTAATAGAATATCTTAAATAAAGTATTATTAGGCTGCAAATG